TGGACATGAGCCACCAATGTGCATCTGCAGCCCAGAAGGCCAACTCCATCCTGGGCTGCATCAAAAGAAGTGTGGCCAGTAGATACAGAGAGGTGATTCTGCCCCTCTACTCTGCTCTGGTGAGACTCCACCTGCAGTACTGCCTCCAGTGCTGGGGCCCTCAACACAAGAAGGACATGGACCTGTTGGAGCAAGTCCAGAGGAGGCCACAAGGATCATCCAAGGACTGGAACAGCTCTGCTGTGAGGACAGGCTGAGAGAGTTGGGGCTGTTCAGCCTGGAGAAGAGAAGGCTCCGGGGAGTCCTTCTGGCGGCTTCCCAGTGCCTGAAAGGTGCCTCTAAGAAAGCTGGGGAAGAACTGTTCTCAAGGGCATGTAGCAATAGGATGAGGGGTGGTGGTTTTAAACTAGAAAAGGGCAGATTTTATTGTTCCAGATATTAGGAACAAGTTCTTCAATATGAGGGTGGTGGATCATTAGAACAGGTTGCCCAGAGAGAAGTAGTGGAGGCCCCATCCCTGGCGATATTAAAGGTCAGGCTTGATGGGGCTCTGAGCAACCTGCTCTAGTGAAGATGTCCCTACTCACTGCAGGAGGGTTGGACTAGATGAGCTTTGAAGGTCCCTTCCAACCCAACCTATGATTCTGTATAAGCTCCAGCAAACCTAGCAGCATTCAGAGGAGGGTGCCAGTCAGAGCCATCAGACAACAAATTTCCACTGTCTCAGGAAAACCAGTTCTGCTTGTAACAGTCTCTAGAGAACACTGACATGAACCATCCGAGCGGTGAGAGAAGTTCAATCAGAGAAGATGTGGATCAAAAGCAGGAATCAATGCCAACCTGACTAGTTCCACCTAACTAGCAGTGGTCTGAAGAGTTAAATCAAGCTGTGGCTTCTGCCATTCTCCTCTGGATGTAGCCTGGAAAGCATTATTTATTTAAGATACCATTCAAGATTTTTTCCTAATGAGTAGCAAGCTAAATTCAAACATAAGGCAACACAGGTCATAAAAAGCAGCTCGTGTGGCTGGGCTGAGACAGGAGATGCCCTGAGGCGGTGGCTTCCACCAGAGAATTGCAGCAGTACAAAACAAATGGATAGTCATAGCATCACTCTTTTCCCATGAGCCTGAGGGAAGAAAACTTCCCTCCTTCCGTCTGGGAGTTAATGACAATGCTTTCTCTTCAGTTTGCTATTAAAAGGAATATAGAAACAAAGAGAATAAGGAAAAATCAGCAAAATAATTTCATTTAAATCTTGCAATAATGTCATAAAAGAAAAGCCAGCTAAATAGCCTACTGCTGTGTAAAATAAAAGGTAGAATTTGGTTTATTATCTCTCAGTAATATGAGAAATCTGAAACTGTAACACAGTTCCATAGTGTATTTATAGTCAGAGTTATTGCTCTGGCTTTGTAACCAGAAATAAGAATTTGTTTAAAAAAATATTTTGGGGGTAAAAATCTACACATAATATTCCAGCTCTGCTTTGTCCTTTATTCCCCCTAAAAAAACCCCAAACCCAACAAAAAAACCACCAAAACCCAAAGGTAAGCAGGAAATTTCTACTCTCATGGTGCTCAAAATGTTTTTAGCAGATAGGAATTGTAGGCAGAGAAAGAGCTGGGGCCACACTGCTGAAAATTGAGACATTTCTTCAAGCAGCTTTGCTACCAGCAAAGAAAATTCTGTGGAAGAAGGAAAGAAGAGATGGGTGAGGTTGTAGTGCAAGTTGGACTGCTGTGAGGAAAGCAGTGGTCCATGATTATGGATCTCATGTTATTTGGGACACAACACCTGCATCTCAAAGCAGAGGAGGGATGATGGACAGAGGACAGGCTGAGAGAGTTGGGACTGTTCAGCCTGGAGAAGAGAAGGCTCCGGGGAGACCTTCTAGTGGCCTCCCAGTACCTGAAGGGGCTCCAGGAAGGCTGGGGAGGGACTTTGGCCAAGGGGCAGTTAATGACAAAACAAGGGGGAATGGGTTTAAGCTGAAAGAGGGGAGGTTTAGATGAGATATTAGGAAGAAGTTCTTCACTGTGAGGGTGGTCAGACACTGGAACAGGTTGCCCAAGGAAGTTGTAGATGCCCCCTCCCTGGAAGTGTTCTTGGCCAGGTTGGATGAGGCTTTGAGCAACCTGGTCTAGTGGAAGGTGTCCCTGCTGCTGGCAGGGGGGTTGGGACTGGATGATCTTTAATGTCCCTTCCAACCCAAACCAGTGTAGGATTTGTCAGGAGAACTTTAAATTTCAGTAGAGCTACATGCAAAACTGCAGTGACAGGAGACAATAAGCCAGTAGCTCTTTTTCATAACGATAGAACTTCATTTTCTCATTTTAACAGTTCTTTGAAAAGAACATTCAACACTTCCTAAAATAAAAGTACTTTTCCTTTTATTTTCCCTTTCCATCAAATAAAGGAAGACGATTATCTTATGCTTTTCCAGTCATGTCAGGTGTCATAAGTACCCAGAATTGATTTCTTGGGTCCTTGTTGTCAAACAGGAACTTTATCTCTGTTACAGGCAATAACTATTTAAAAACAAAAGCAGATATGCATCAGAAATAAATATCCAGCCAAATAGAAAGTGTTCCTTGAGTAACAATGGGCTTGTAAATGGAAATAATTTCCAACTGTTGCTTCCTTTTTCCTTGTCAATCGCTCTGAAGGTTTATACTGCTCTTCAGACAAGCTATTGCCAAACTGCAGTGGCTCTGTTGTCATGTGTAGCTCTGAAGAGAATTTAATCAGCTTGTTCAATAATAATTACATTAAAAAAATGAGTGAAATGGCAGCGTGGCTGTGTCTTGCATGGCAAAAATTAACCTTTTATCAGAGGGATGGAGGAAGAATTCAAAGAGTAAGAAGATGAGGAGAAAGAACTGAAATGTTAAACTTTTCCACATCGTTTCTAGGAATTCTAATTTATATTGCCACAGAAGGTGACCTGTTTTTTATTGTTGGGTCTTTTCTATAGTTTGGAGAAAGAAAATGGTAAATTGGTTTAAAATTACTCAGGAAATTGCTGTTTGAAAATGTAATCTTTCTACAGGCTGCTCTTCAGCTTCAGTTTTAAGAAGATCTAGGTTTTATATCTCTGTATATATAGAACAGGTTCATTTGTGCTTCTGCTATTGCACCACAAATTCTAAAGATTAGATTTCTTGCTCTGTAATCCTGCTCAGCTGTGGAGAAAAGAAAACTGATGTGGAGATAATGGACTTTTAATAAAAATCTATCTAGAGCAGAGCTCAGGTTAGCATTGCCATTGTCACCTTTGCCCATCGAGCCAGGATTTGAAATAGAAGTCAAGGAAAAAAAGTGGAGCACTGAAATATCACTGCTGTGTCTCTGGTCTGGAGGTAGCAGAGTAATTCCACATCCACCTGCTGGTTTGTTTTACTCTGGAGTTGTAAATCCCAGTGTGTTCTGATATTCTGTAGTTCCAGTCCTAAGAGAATATCACTGATCTTATGTTAATACACAAAGATATGGGATTTGGATAGTGGAAGGTGCCACATAAACTCAGAAGAAGATCTTGGAGAGTTTTAAAGACAAGCCACCACAACCAAGAGCAAAATGAACCCATGCTGGATAGTAAGAAGATAATAAGGATTATCAATGTGCACCAGTTTTATTGCAACAGAAATCCCTGTCCTACTTATTTTCTTTCTTTTTCATCTTCAGAAATACTTGAGAGCAGCTGTGTGTTGGCTCATTGTGATAGATTTTCTCTCGGTGCTTCCCAGAAATGTTGTTTTCACTGTTATTTAAACCTGTTCTAAGGCAACTCAGTAGTACCAGACACCCATTATTTTTTCTGACTAATTTTTTTTTCAGCCTTTGATTTCACAGTGTTTTCAGATGATCAATCAAAATGTGACTTCACTGAGATTACAGCCCTGTTCTGGAAGCTAGAAAGTTCTGTTTCTCTATCAGAATTTATATAAAAATGATAGCATACATGTTAGGACTATTTTCTGTCCACGGATATATTCTGATGATACAACTGAGATTCTAATAGATGGATTCTCTCCAGCTGAACAAGGTAGAAAGAGATGAAGAACACTGCCCTGCTGAAGAAATTAATGAAACGGGGAGATTATTTACAAATATCACGTTGTGATCTGAAAAGAATAGTTGAAAGATCACAGGATGTTATATTTCTGTGTTGTCAAGGAATCTTACATGATCTAACATTCCTCAGATTGTCATCTCATCAACCCAATGCAAGTTTTTTATATTATCCTG